GGGAGTTCAGTCCAGGCATGATCAGCAGGGTTTTGAAGAGAGGAACATTTTTGCACCTGGACTGCGCTGTCCTGTGCAGCAAACCTTAAGTACGGGCAGAACCAACCCAGATCCATGAGGAAAAGAGGCAGGATTCTCCCAAAGACTCTGCTGAGAGGCAGGTAGTGCTATGGAGCAAATTCAGTGTTAAAATTCTTAAACAGTGTGGAGAGGGGACGAATACCAAGCACTGCCCGTGCCACCCAGCTGTGAGAGGAGGGAGGAGTTATTTGCTTCTGCACATTTAATGCTTTGTCTCTGTTTTGCCCCCCGTAGTAACTGCTTTCCAGCAGTGGACAATACTGTTAGTAGTTAAAAAATGTTAAATTGTTTCACAAAAGTAAAAATACCATTTTCCTTATTTTTCAATGACAGTTGGAACATGGCCCCCATTTTCCCCCAAATTTGAAGATTTATTTTCCTCATTGCTGTACCTTTCTTTGCACCTTTCTCTAGCCCATCATATTTTTAATGATTAATCATTGAAAAGTGGGAGGAAAATGAGGTGGGAAAAGCTTTGTGTTTGCATTTGAGATGAATCCATTAACTGGTTTTTAATGTATGTTTTAAAACCAAGTGAAAAATCCGAACTAATTTTGCTGCTTATTTATGTACTTTACCACATGACAGTTCACTAGTATGTGAAAAAAAGATGTTGTTTGAGGGACAATGTAGGTGATGTAGACAAAACCAAAACTTGACTTGAATAAACAGCAACTGGCAGATGAATCCGAAGTGAAAGGCTGGGTATTTGTCCTTTTAACCCACCAAAAAGCACATGACATCAGAACAGCCTTCTACAGTATTTGCAATTTCCTCTGATATCCCCAGTGAACCAGAGGAGCTCTGTGGATGCTTCACTACCAAAAATAGACCTCACTGGTGCTGGGCTTTCACTCATTTGATCTCTGCTGTGGAAACCACTAACGGTGTGTTACTGAAACTGCCATTCTGAGGAGGGAAAAAAAGGAATCTTCTTTGTTTTCCTCCTTGTTTGCTGCTGTAGGGCAATGAACTTACAGTTACTAACAAAGAAAACACTGTTGGAGTGGAGCCTCTGTGCAAGGCAAGGCTGGAGCAGTGCAGTTTTTGGGTGGGTTTTTTTTACCTTTCAAAATATCAGGAGAAAACAGGAAACTTGCAAAAGTTGATGTTTTCTTATCTAGAGTGCTCTAAGAGCTCAGTGTTTCCATCAGTGTAACAGGGCTAAACTAGCACAGGTTTGCAGTTCTACAAGTCAGAGGCAGTCCCATTTCCTGGGACTCTGTCAAACATTTTTGTCCATTGATTAGTTGGCTCAGCAAACCAAAATGTGCAGTTTGCATATTTCAAAATATGTCTCTGCTTAATGAAAAAAAAGAAAAATGCACCGGAAAAAAAGTGCCCTGTTGTTTAAATGGAAATGTGAGTAAAGGTTTTATTATAATATATAGTGAATGTACTTTATTACATCATTTTAAACAAAAATCATATCCTGTTTTTGGAATGCTGCTTAATGCTGACCAACATAATTTCATATTTTGTACTGTCTTTTCAGTCCAGTTTTTATTCTTACCCCTCATTTATCTTATTTCAACAGTCACAAATTCCAAAAGACATAATTCTAATTCCCACAGAAATACATATCAAGAGATCCAAGAGATTCTGGGAACAAATTCAAGATTTTTATAACACAGTAAAAAGCAACAGGCACGAAAAGAATAGATGGGCAGAAGGAGATCCTTGAGAGAGATGTTTGTGCTTGCACTGCAGAGCAGGAAGCATGGCCAGGTTGGTAGCTCACTGGCCTACGGTGTCAGAAGGTCAGATCACACACTAGGATTTGGGCTCATCCCAAATGTTGACACAGTATGGAAGGGGAAGGGAAAGGGAAAGGCATGTGACAGTAAATGTTGATTGGAAATATCCATCAGTGGACCTGGGAGAGGAAAGGCCACTGCAGAATCAACACAAAGGTTCTTCTTCTTCTGTTCCTAAATGTTGAATTAGGCTGGTAACAAGCACCAGATCTGGTGAAGAAGACTCTACTTACTGACACCAAACATCCTTTAATAATAATTGAATTTTAATTAAATGTGATTGAGTACATATTCCCATCTGACAAAAAGAGAATCTCACCATGCAGAAAGCTAAAATTCAGTGAGTGCCCCTTGGCTCAGCATTCTGGCCTTAAAAATACTGTGCCATGCCAGTTCAGGTAAAGCCAGAGGATCATCGTGGAATGCTTAGATATCCTAAATCTACATTTCATCTTCTCTTTTCATTGCATCTCAGCCTTGCCTGGTTGATCCTTTCCCAGCTTTTAACCTTTCAGATACAATCTGCAGCTGCTGGATGCGACAGGAAATGAACAGTAACAACTGGCACCAGTAACACTTCTGTGTGTGCAGCACAGCCTCAGTTTGCCTGGTACTGCTGTCCTTTTCCAAACATACTCATCATGTTTTCACTCAGTAATGCAATCACTATGATACTAACCTTCACTAGCAAAAATTCAGAAAGTCTGCTTTCATTTAATTTTAAATTTCCCAGATTTCTCACCTATTCCCTACCAATAATTTTAGTTAAAATAACAAGCTAAAGCAATACTGCAGCCTACAAGAAGCATCTTGCCAGAAATGTGCATGTACCTGTTTCTAATACAGATCTTGATTATAGGGTTTTCATACCCTTGTGCATCTCACTGTACCTCAGTTCAAGTCCATCTGTTAAATAACAGCATTTGGAAAGAAAATAATGCTGCCTTCTCAGAAGGATTCACACTGTAATCTTCTGGATTTAATGATACTAAAATTCTTATAATAATTCATCTTGGAAAGGACATATGGGATCATCTCATGATCTGGTACAACCCACAGCCCAGTGCAGCACCAAATTGAAAGCTGGCTTTAATTTCAAGGTCAGATAAATTGCCCAGGGCCTTGTGTCCACCTCAGCTTTGAGTATCCCCAAAAATGGAGATTTCAGAGTCTCTCAAAGCAATGTGGTTCATTACTGATAATGATCACTGTGGAAAAAAATTTCCTTTTTATTGGCATAAAATATTCTGAAATCTACTGACTAAAGAAAAAAGGTGAAGAACAAAATATTAGTTCTCTACTCAAGTCATATTTTCCCAACAAACTTACTAGCAAAGATATTGAGCATAGAGAGTTACTAGTCTGAAAGAGAGGATGGGTTAAACACATAGTTGTGAAACACATTTTATGCAAGGGAATGATTTCTATAATGTGATGCTTGTAACTGCATTTGGTGATCTGGCAGAAAGGGTCCTCAGATTACTTGTTTATTCTTAATCTCTAAATTGTTCCAAATGGATTTTAAAGTCATTTTTCTAAATCACTGACGTGCCTGCCTGTCATTGTAGTGAATTAATCAAGCTCATTATTCAGTGATAAAGCTCTGAATTTCATGGTTCCTAGAACCACACCTCAAGTGTTATCAAGGGTCAGTTTATTCCCATGTTAAAAGCAAAAACATGAGTGGAAGGCAATGTTCTCTTTCACATACCCACCTCACACTCTGAGCCAAAAGGCCCTTCCAGTGTCACAGTAATTTCCTGCTGGAGGAATGTTCCTACTGCTTGGTTTAATTTGAAGAGTTGAACAGCATCATGAGCCTTTCACAGGGTAAATGGCTTGGCCCAGCAATTTTGGCTTTTTGCAGGATCCTCTCAAATGTACAAATCAATTATACGACTTCCATGCTGAGAAAACACATTAACTCTAAAATGCACAGCAGTAGCCTGGTCTCAATAAAAATATTTAAAACCTACTCTTAAACTATAACTCCAAGTTGCAGTTGAATATGAAATATCCATTTCCAGCCAACTACATCCAATTTCTATCATGCTTTGGAAGGTGTATATGCACTAGGAATATTAAAAGCCAAACCCCCCCAGCAGCTCAGGGTGAAACAGGGAAAGACTTCAGACCTTTCCAGACATGCTCAGGCAGAAATGCAATGAGCCTTGTGACTTCACAGCAGGCATCTGTTCAAAGTATGTGCAGCACAGAAGTAACCCTTGGCCTTACATATTGCAGAACTGCAAAAACCCCAAACTTGTCGTTCCAGGAACAACACAATCCATTAAAATGATTAATTCTCAGGAGTTTCTTCCAGAGATTAAGAATAATAAGACAATTAAGCTTGGGGCAAAAAGTGACTCTTGCAGTGTCACAAAGTCCATCAGAGAATCTCTTGTGCCTCCAGTGATGAAACAGGCCTTAGAAAAATATAAAAATTTGCATGAAATCTAGTGAGGACAGATAAAGGCAAACTCCCATATCAGTGTTACAGGTACTTGTGCTTACACTGTAGGAACAGCTTTCAGTTTAACATGTTGCACAGCAGGAAGGCAGGAAATTTTTCACAAGGCTAAAATTATTACGTATATTCAAGGCCTTTCAACATAATTGGTTATTGTGACAGATTCCACTGAAACACTCACAGGATGCAGTTCTTACTCTGGAAATGAAGGTTTCCAGTGGAGAGTTGTTCCCATGTAAAATGTTCCTGCCTCACAGCAGGATTTCAGGATACATTTATAACTCAGATTTCAGATGAGAATAATTGTTTATGGACAGGTTCTCAACATGCAGGGAATACTGAACTACAGAGACAGATGACATCCTCTTTTCGTGTTCATATATATAATCCTAATTAATATGCTCATTGGCAGGTGCAGAGAATAATTAGTAGGATGCTTAAACACCAACTTTATTTATCTTACTGATCAGGATTCCTCCTAAATCTGCAGTTATAAGACAGAGTAGTAGGAAAAAAAATCAGCAAAACTAATCTTGCTAAAAAGATTTGTTCGTTTTTATTGCTTAGTTCTAATACAATTTACTCCTTCAAAACCCTTTTAAAAAACAAAAAAAGCAGCCCATGATATCACCCTCTCATTTGTGACCTGCCCAGCAGGGCCACTCTTAAACACAACAGACAGAACAAGAACATGGATAAAATAATGATTTATTGGAAGCAAATATTCACACAAAGTAAAAAGGCAATCATTTCAATCATTTGGTTTTTAACAAGACAAAGCTACCCCACTACAAGATTTACCCAGAAACAGGATTAGATTCAGGAACAATGCAGTATATTTTAAATCCCTGAGATTGAGGTCCTCTCATCTTTTATGCACTCCCTGCCCCACCTCCCACAAAGGTGCTGGAAATTTGATTTTCTGCTCAGTTGAGCTTTTAGGGCATTACCATCCAAAATTACAGTTTCAGTCTTTAGATCAGCATGAAATTTAAAAATGCAAGCAAGCCCAAGCTGCAGCTGATGGTGGTGTTACCTTGTCAGTGCCCAGCTCCTCAGCTAGGAGATGGAAAAAGAATCTAATACAGCTCAAGGCATAACCCAACTAAAATAAAATTCTTTCCAATATTAGAGGTAGATTTTATCCAGTGTAATATATAACAGCCACTCCTGTAAGTGCAGAGCTCTTGGAATTGAAGAATTAAGATCAATTTCGAGCTATATTCTCTTAGAATAATTAAGGCAAGCTTTTTGTATATCCTTCAAGAAAGCAGGCACACCACTCTGTAAAGAGAAAAGTGGAAAAGTTCATTCTTACATAATGCAATAAATAAGAACTATAAGCAAGATGAGAATTCCCATTATATAGATCAAGGCCTCCAAACAGATACAGTTCTAAGATACAATTCTAAGATCTGGTACAAAGCAGCAAAGCATTCCTTTAATACTTTGGGAACAGACTGCATTATTGAAGTTTGCTTGTCTTTAGGCTATTCATGTATGCTCATGGATTTTTTCAGCCACCCACCTGGCTGGCTAACCAAAGGAATTCGTCAGGAATTAAGAAAAGAATAAATTAGTACTACTGTCATGAGAGCAGACAATAGTGAGACTCTAAAAACAGGACTGTGCAAGAGCCAGAAAGGTGGATACATCCATTTCAGAAAAAATAACTCTACCCAGCAGGCAGAAGATGGGTATGGATGCAGTGACTCCCTTGTTTGGAATGGATTAGCAAATATCACTGTGTGTTAACCTTCCCTTACCTTGGCAGCCCAGTTGACCAGCCACGATGGGATCATGCCACCAGGATTATCAAAGTAGTACATATAGACTGCAGAGGAGAGAGAAGTTACCAGAAAGTTCTCTGAGTACCAGCTCTAACACCCCACAGCAAAAGCTGTCGGTGTGCAGGACTGAGGCACCAAGTACAACTGTTCTGCTCTAAATTCTTCACCAAAAAATCAGCTTGTCCTGAAGTGGAATGTGAAGTAACTGTGAAGCATTGCCAGTGAAGCTGACAGAGCCATAACATTATTGCAAAGCGTTTTAGGCACCCTGTTTTATAAAATAACGTTTTTAAAGGACTAATCTCAGATAGCAGAAAACCTCCAGGCAAATCCTTTCATCTCTACATCTGTCAAACATGATACTCAAATCATTGCTGAGTTAAGCAGATTGCAGCAGACTTTCCCCCACTGAACTGGCTGGCAGGAAAAGAAGTGCACGCTGAGGGTGGGGTGGGATGGGGGAACAGAATGGTCAGTAATCTATTCTTAACTACCCAGCCCAACTGTTGAATAAAAGATTCTTCACAGTAGCACAGTGCACTGGACATTCTCAAAAGTTACATTCATTTTAAAGTGTTCCCAAGGCTCAGTGCATTCACTTCATTGTAACGGTTTTCAGCTTAAAATTTCCAGTCCCCTTCTTTATGCATTTTGCTAATCCACACATTCTCTTCCTACATGACTTGTGACACATTTTCTTGGCCTCTTACCTTTAGATCCAGCCTTGCCATCACTTTCAATTGCCATGCTTTGTTTATAGCTTTTAACTCTGATAATACCGGGCTTTTCAGGGCACTGAGGAACAGACACACTTTGAGCCAACACAACCCAGATCTTCCTCCCATCCACATCCATCTCCCGACGTTCCCGAACGTAGACATACTGTGCTCAGAGTTGAGGAGGAACGTCAAAACACTGTCAGCTTGATGTGTGAGAAACTGACAAGTGAATTCCATCACAAACAGCAGCTCCTTCAAGTTACTGCTCGTGCTTCTACAGGATTCAATCCTGCCGAGTAATAACGCAGCTATGTGAGCTCGAGTTGTGTGTGGGAAGAGGCACCCACGCTCTTCCTCACACTGTGCATATTCATGTTAACATGAGGACTGCAAGATCTTAGATCAAGAGCAGCAGAGCAGTGGAGTCAGCTCATTGTTGGGATTCCTGGATGACCAGGGAACAAAAACTGCCACGGGAACAAAAGCTTGAAAGGATACATCTCTGTTTGACAGAGGGAAAGGGTACTTCACTTCCCAGTAGATTACTTTTTCACCATCGTATGTTTTCTCATACAGTTCTACAGTTGAAAGAGGAAGATTGTGAGATATTTTGAATTTCTACTGCAACAGGACTATAGATGACATCAAGAGCTGCTCAGATTTCTGACATGAGCACATTTTACACGCAACCCTGAAGTCAAAATTGATATGTATGTAAAGTTGTAGCAGTAGAAGACATTAAAAAGTTCTATAGCAGGGTTGTTCAGGAACCAAATACACAAAAATAGGTGGTGTGTTTTCCTATGGCTACTGGATTCCTTGGTGGGAAAAAAAAAAAACCCAGAACAATTCTGGAGGAGGCAGAGTGAAATTCCTCTCCAGCCAGTTTGCTCATTCAAAGCCTTGCCACCTCAAAGCTTTTCCCTTGCATATTCTGCACAATTCGCACGTCACTATCCTTGTAAATTATTCTGAGTTAACATGGAACTAGGATGAGTGCAGCTTTCTAACACCTCAGGAGGTCTTACATGAGGGATTAATGAAACTTCCAAAAGCTATCAGGAATTTCACAGCAGTACAGACAGGCAACTGAGGGGCTCTACATCCCCTAGAGCTAATGCCCACAGCCAGCCACATCCTTTCAGTGCTTTTGAAAAGGAGGCCAGAACAGACTGATAGTCTCATTGCCAAGGCAAGAACAGTGCCAGAGATGGGAGATTGTTTCCCTATATAACATGTTCCAAACCAGGCTTCTGTTAGGATGCCCTGAAATCAGCTGTCACCCACAAAAACAGCTTCTCCTCTTCTCCAGGCTGCAGCAGTACTGGAAGCACCTGGTGTTGTAATAACCCACAGCATTATGCTTTCCACCAGAGGTCACTGGAGCATTGGATTATTCACTTTGCTTTCATTTCTAACCACAGGACTTTCCTTTTTCAAAGGCATTAAGACACCGTTTTAAAGAAACTGATAAACTGTTATTACCTAACTGATCTACCTTTGTACCTTCACAATTCCAGGAAAAGCACACGACTAGGTAAGCCAAGTCCCATTTGTATTCACTTTAGTCTGTCAGTGCTAGGGGATCTAGAAGTACAGCTTCTGATCAAAGCAGAATTCAGTGCATTTTAATCAATACCCAGATTTCATTTAGCATCACTACACGAGATCACAAATGCATTCTATCATAACAGGCACAGCAGCACTCGCTGCTCCAACAGCCAGTTATTATTGTTAAGTTATTGGGAAGTACGATCTCAATCACGACAGTGTTGCAATCAGGAGCAGCGAGTTTCAGCATTGGTCAGGCCCACCCATTTTATATCATGCCACAGAAGCATTTGGTTCCTTTATCACTACTCTGCAGTTTAGTCACAGATTCCCTGCTGAACTGGCAGCTGCAGCACAAGCCAGACCTCAGGTTGTCCACATCTTGTAGATATTCTGGACCACGCAGGAGCAGTTGCCTTTTCAATAAAGAGGCAGGTTTTTATTGCAATGCCAGCCAGCAGTTCAGCAGAGAGCTCTCCTTTGGATTGCCACTGTTGCCCAGCTGTAAGAGCACCAAGGAATACAAACAGTAATACAAAGAGCAAGAAGGCTCTCAGTGGAAGTTTTCTGGGGTTTGTCCCTAAATGTGAAAGGAGAAAAAACATACTTAAATAGGCTACACTGAAAATGTTGGCTGGCACTATTTCATCATATGTACAGTTAAAGAGTAGTTGGGCTTGTGGCAATTTTGAAGCTGGAAGGAAAGCTTTGGGTTATGTTTATGCCCTTCCCAGATGTTAACTCTTGAAATGCTGGACTTAAAGGCACCAGCACAAGTATAAATTCACAGATGAACAAACCACGGTCAGCAAGGACATAAATGTCAGCTCTGCAACATTATCTAGTTTTTAGTTTAAGGGTGTAGCTTCCCCAACAGCTTCCTTTCTTATCTCTAAGAAGTCATTGGAAAAAAAAAAAAAAAGCTGTTTGTTTAAGAAAGATTGAGTTCTCCTACAGGCACTTCAGGACTACTAAATTAACTCAACATAATATTTTACATCCAGTATGATAATGTTGAGTGCCAGTCTGGCTCCTTTTGCTTCTTTAACGGCAAAGAGGCCTTTGCTACAAGAAAGCTGCTGACCATTTTGACAAATAAGACTTGTTGATGAAGACACCACCACTTCAAACTTGATCAAGTACTGGCATGAGTCAAATGTGGTTCTCTGTATCAATACAGCCACAGGCATTACCTGTAAAAGTTCACCATGGAACTGTCCTAAACCTAACAAGCAAAACATTTAACAATCCTTTGGGCTTTAGCACGTTCTATTTTTAGCAAAACACTTTGACCATGTTTCAGTTTTATTGGCTTGAAGTGATTCCAAGTACAGGCTTAAAAAGGAAAGGCTCCCCATCTTTAAAATAAATGGATTACTGGATGCTTGCATCAGCTGAATCCTTACCTTGTAACTGCTGACTTAAGATGTTTTAACATCATATGGATATCCAAGTTCAATGCCCTTTTCCAAAGACAACATTAAATAAAAACAACTAAATTAGTTATTCCTTTCTCTGTAAAAGCCAAAGTCACCAGCTATTCTCTCGATACACCCATTCCTGATGGTAAAAGGTGCCAAGAACAACCAATGCTTTCAGGAAAGTCATTCCATCACACCTCAAACTGATGCAAACCAGAGGAAAATGTTTCACAATGAGAACAATCAGCCATTGAAATAATCTCGCCAGGGAAGTGGTGGATTCCCCAAAACAGACATTTTTAAGACTTCAGCTGAGCAGGGTGCTGGGTCATCTTGTCTTTTGTCGAGGAAGGTTGGACCAGATGATCCCAGAGGTCCCTTCCCCACCCCTGGTATTCTGTGATCACTGCTCCACTGTGATAGGTGAAGATGTTCAGAAGGTACCATCTCCACTTCTCCCTGGAACATCTGCTAAAATTTAACCCAAGAATTACAACAATCAGAAGCTACGAGGTGCTCCAGCATAACCAGTGATGCCAATTATATGCTTTAACCAACATGGAAAGAATTCACTCCAGAGGCAAGACATATGCTGTTGAGACATTAGCTGTTCCATATCAGTGTTTACTTGTATATTTGCAGAGGGCAACCTTATCCCAAAAAGATACTGAAGTCTGGCCCAAAGTCTTTGGATGCAGCAACTTCAAAGTACCTTTGAGGAAAGCTTTAGTGGGAAGAATCCACGTGGACTAAAGCTGGCTTTTACACTGCCTAGATGAGCTTACCTTTAACATACTGATCCCACTGTTTTCTGAAATCTAAGTCCATGTAGACATCTGCACACAGTTCTGGGGGACAGTCAGCAAGACCACCAAAGATTTTATACTCATAAAGTCCTGATTGCTGTGGAAACAGAATGGGGAGAGGAAAAGTCACACAGGAAAGGGAAGTACTCTGCATCAGGGAGAACAGCTGAAGGAAGTTAGGTGGAGCACAAGCTACAAATACGCTCAAGAGCTGTGAAAGCAAATCTTCAAAAAACAATGCAAGATTCAGTCTTTAACCTCTCGACTTTTTGATCTATACATGAAAGTTTAAACCCAGGCAGGCTGACCTGCCCTGCACAATGGCTGTTCCTTCCCTTACACTAGTACCTTTTTACTTCATCTGTACTTCCAAAGGGAGCATGTTTCTACACACACACACCCCTTTTCAAAAAAAAAAAAAAAAGAAAAAAAGGGAAAAAAAAAAAAAGACAGACACTTCTAAATGTTTTTTAGCTTCAGAAGCACCCTGTACTCCATCAGCACATTAATTCCTGCATGGATACCTGGTAGATACTTCAGCCTTGCCTGTGTTGTGTGCATTCATTGATAAGCTTGCCTTGCTACTGCCAGTTACCACATCCACACTGTAAACAGGGACCATTTATCACCAAAAAAATTCCAATGTCTATGAAGTGATGTGTTTTTAAAGAGGCTTTCCCCACCCCACTTTGCCTTTTGCACAGACCTGTATGTTTGCTGTTTTTGCTGACATGACCATGTCTGAAATGATTTTTCAGAATACAAAGTCGCCACGCAAGGAACACATGAAATTCAGGTTTGTAAGGAGCTGAGAGGAAACTATGATCACCGAGCTAAAGAAATAGGGTATTTATATATGGGTTTTAAAAATATAGATTATAAATATTTATTTTATATATATTGTATAAATATAATATATCTTATTAAAATATAATGATATAGTATTATATATTATATATGTATCTACATTATATATTTTATATTTATATAATATATAATATGTATCATATATTACATAATATATTATATAATTAATTATATAAATATACTATATAATATATTATATAAATATAATATATGTTATTATTTATTCCATTTATATATGGATTTAAAAGTCATTCATAAATCATAAATCTGCATCAGAATACAAAACATTCACTGTCAATCACTTACAAGTCAGTTCCAGAAGCCTAAACTACTGAAGTTATTCCCCCATAAAGGGGTGGAATTTAATTTCAACCCTTCCTGAACTACCTCCCGATTTTAGAGGGAGAATGGTGGGAAATCAGTGTGAAGGGAGCTTTGGAGAGAGGCGAGAAGGGAGGCGGAAGCCTGGAGACCAGGAGGATGCTCTGGCACGGGAGATGCTCGGGAGCAGGTGTGCAGGGACGGAGCTCCCGTCACCACACAGAGAGGGCTCGGGAGAGCACAGCAAACACCCCGACAGGCCCACGGCTGCTCCCACCCACCACCGGGAGCACCTTCCACCGGGAATTCCTGCAGCCCCCAGCTGTCCGCAGCCCTGCGAAGCCTCGGGCTCCCCGGCCGTCTGCGCGGGCGGAGGGGTCACCGCGGCCGAGCAGCTTTTGCCATCAGCAGTTAATGGCATTACCCACAAAGCTGCTTCCCGGGAGCCCGGCGTAAACCGAGCCCGGCCCGGCAGCGCCAGCCTGGCCTGTGCGGGGCACCGGGGACGTGCCGGGCCCCCCATCCCGGGCATCCAGCGCCCCCCGGGCCGCTCCGGGAGCCCGCCCGCGCACCTCGTGGAACAGGCGGTAGATCCGCACGCCCATGGTCTCCACCAGCAGCTGCCACGGCCCCTCCGCGCCCGGCGCCGGCTGGTCCAGCTCCCGGCAGGCGGCACGGAACTGCTCCTCCGAGAAGCGCCGCGGCTCCTCCGCCTCCATCCCCGGCGGTTCCTCCATCCCCGGTGGCTCCTCCATCCCCGGTGGCTCCTCCATCCCCGGCGGGCGGGCGGGCACAGCCCACGGCCGGGCCGCCCCGCCCCGCGCCCGCCCCGCACAGCCCGCGGGGCCGGGGGATGCGGGTTCGGAGCATCGCTGCCCTGCAAGGGTGCTCCGTGCGCTCCCGCCTCTTGCGGGGTCTCAGCCGCTCGTTTGGTGGCTTTAAATGTGCGTGTCATCAGCCTGGTGCCGGAACGGGAACAGATTCCATGAAGGTGATGGTCAGGGTTTTCCCTTTCGGGTGTTCCCTAAGGATAGAGGTTGAACACTGTGGTCACGTGTAATTTTTTTGTATTTTTTTTCTTTAATTTTTATTTTGTGTTTTTGTACCTTTTCACTCTCTAAAAAGCAGTTCTCCTTATGGAGTGTATGAATGAGAATATATAAAGAACCCACAAATGCTGTACAGCTGGTTGGTAGGGGTGACCCTGGCTCACCCCACCGAGACCCAGCCATCTCGGCAAAGAGGAGGGGGCAGTGGGCTCTGGCCCATGGCAATCTGGGATGCACTGGGTACACAGGATAGAAGGAGACAGAAAACTCTCTCTGGGCTGAGCTCCCTGGCAGGAGAAATCCACTGAGATGGACACACTTCACATCTTGCTTAGGTTCCTGCTGTGTGACACCACCTATAACAGTGTGAGGCTGCCACACACAGACAAAGCATCAGGCCCTCAAAATGTAACTGGTTAAAGCCAGTTTTCTCCTGGGAGTTGTAAATCTGTTTTCATTACAGCTTTATTCTTCTAATTCCTGTGAGATATTCCTACTGAACACTGTGTCTTCAGAATAAAACACAAGGCAGCTCTGAGCCATGGGACGTCATCAAACCTACTGACTGGCAGCACTAGCCCAGTGTACTTGGTGGTAACCTCTGTGCAAGGCTGGAATAATGTACTATTTTCTAGCTTCCCTGCCAAAGGGTTGAGCTCTTTGACAAAGAGTTCACTTATGTCAGCTGTCCTTTCCAGTTCCAGTCAATTGGTTTGCAAGCAGTGCATGAAGATTTCTGGCTGACTGCTTTGGACATACAAGCTGATCATCATCTCTGCACAGTCCAGAAAACTTTTGGAGAGCTTTGGCAGAAGGCAAGATGGTATTTCACAAACTTCCCCCCCAGAATGTAAATTTGATGTCAGAACTTGACCTGCAGCACCTTTATAAAATAGTATCAGTAATGGTGATAAATATCTGCTCATACCTCACCTGCTCTCACCTCCCCAGTGAAACTGCTAGGCAAACATTTCAGTTCTTTTATGTTTTGTAGTATGCTTACATGTGTTACGACCTTTTATCACTAATATTTATACAATACATATAAATACTTTGGCTTGTTTGTGTTCTTTGTAAACTACAATTGCTCTCAGTCAGCCTAGCTGGTTCTGCAAATATCATGGCAATACATTTCTTAGGGCTGAAGCCTTACAAGTAAATTCTTGGCTAAGTTGCCTCCAGTGGAGCTGTGCTGCCCACCCAACTGAGGAGCTGGTCTTTAAAATGGAATATGAGACAATGGCCTGTAGGTGAGACTGATTTAGTTTATCTTGCAGAAATATTTCTTTACTTTTCAAAGATTTTATCAGATTGCTGTCTCACTTTTACATCCCATTCCTGCTCTGAACTAGGACTCTGTGAGACTGAAAGAGCTCAGGGCTTTTGTTTGCACAGAGGTGACTTTGACCCAGTGTGGAACAGGAGGAGTTGTGAGTTGAGCTGATGTTTAACACGCAGCAAGGAAATGTGCCTGTGAGATTGCCTGATCCCTTAAGGAGCCTTGTTTGTGCAAAAGGACTGAAGTGATCACAGCTCAACGTTGGCTATTGTTTTAGGGTCAATGTCTTGCATTATATGGTTGTCTACATGGCATCAGTCAGTTGGCACAGCTGCCTGGCCCCTCCCTCCTCCCCCAGCATTTTCATGGAAAAAAAGATTTATCTCACGAGGCTACTCCAGGGACCAAAGCTTTCAAAAAAAAGCATTACTATGTGACCTTTTTTCTTGGTAAATAAGGAGTGGTGATTACTGAGAAAGCACAAACAGTTCTGAAAAGAGAGTTTATTTTCTATTTTCACGTACATTTAAGTAAGTGTTGCTATTTGTCACTTGTATGTCCATGTATTGCCCTTAGCTTAGGGACATAAGCTAAAGTTTGAACCCAAGACCTTTGGTATCTGCACTACTTGGTAGTGTGGCTTGTAGGGATGGGGTGAGTTCAGACTGACTTCCTAGAGCTCTGCTCCAACACAGTGGGATAACAACTGTTTTGGGGCAGCTGAGTCTGGGAACACAAACTCAAACTTCACATCACAGCTACCAAAGGCAGCCTAAGATACAGCACAGCCCAGTCCCACATGTGGATCAGGGACCTAACTGAATGAAAATAGAGGGTTACCATTCTGGGGCAAGAAGTGGGAGTTTCAAAAGTGCTCACAACCTGACTCCCTTATTTACTATTTCTCAGGCTTTAGGATAGTCTCTCATATGGTCTAGCAGTTCAGATACCTGGTCTTCATCCAGGTGGGTCCAGGTTGAACTCCTGGTAGGGGAAGGTTTTAATTTTATCCCTGGAAGTGTTCAAAGCAGGTTGGATGGGGCTCTGAGCAACCTGGTCTAGTGGAAAGTGTCCCTTCCCATGTCAGGGCATTGGAATGAGATGAGTTTTAAGGTCCCTTCCAGACCAAACCATCCTGTGATTTTATGATTCTCCTTAGCTGCTGCTGCTCTCCGTGGGAAATGATACCTCAAGGAAACTTGGTCTATCAATGGGATTAATGTACCTAAATCACCCCCTGTTTTTCAGAATGGAAATAATCTGTATTAATTCTACCCTAACACCTAACCTTCCTGCTACTGAAATCAATGCTGAGTAATCCACTGAATCCTATGGTGTGGAACCAAACCAGTAAACTGGACAACTCCCCCAGCAGCAAATGCTACATGGCCAGAAGTGAGAACAGCAGTGAACACTACACTGATGTTTCAGGCCCCAGGTGATTTTCAGTGTGTGCTTTGGACATGGGTATCCATGTATGGCAGGGTGCTATATTGTGTTTTCCTGCATCTGTCTCTGTGTGGCACTGGTGCACTTTGAGAAATTCTTGAAGATGAACTAAAGATGTGGGATTTTGATGGATTCAGCTGCTGTGCAGACATTTACATATTGTTGTCGTTCCATTTTACTCAGTGCACTCCAAAAACTTTGCAAAAGTGCTGAACAGTCCTAACACACAGTTTATAGAGTGTGCACATTCGTATTTCTAGTATACACAGCCAGAGCAATTATAAGCTTCTGCTACTGTTGTTTTATCAACTGCATTATGTAAAAACCTTTCTTACGAACTCTTTCATGACTTTTGCAGTTTTCAAGAAGAAAATTCTAAATCCAGAGAGCTGAGAAGTGACAACAGCATCTCCCAACGCAGCCATGTATGTGTAAGCCAGTCTGTATTCTCGTCTCTTCTATAAGTCAAAGGAAAATCTGTTTTTTCAACATCTTTAGAATATGCAGAAAATCCAGCCTGTCTAACACACCAAAAATCTTTATACATTTTATATACATTTTTTTATTCCTACGTATTTAGGCAGGAAGGGGCTTCCAGAGTGACAATCACCTCTTTTGCAAAGAACTAGCACAAGACATGCACTGCTTGAGCTGTCAGAAGGTGTCTTAAGTGGTTTATAAAGGTCTTCTTCACAGAGTTGAATTGAACCCCAAACTATGACTGCATCTGTATTTGGTATCTCATTTCAACAGAATTCCACCCAAATAGAAGAGGGTTCAGAAAATAACTGGAGTTCTGTTTTTCTGCCTTTCAATACTATACATGTTCATTATGCTGGACTCCTCTTTTTTTGTTCTTTCTTAACTACTCTTTAGATCAGACACTTCACTTACTGTTAATTTCTCAGAAGTCATCTACTATGTAGGAGAAAATCTGTGTATTTTCCCTATATACAGTATATCTAAAGACTGCATAAATTATAGTGGTCTAGGACAGACAAAGACTCATCAGTCAGGCAGTAGTTCAGCCAATGGCCTGTGTAGCTTAGCTTAAAGCTCAAAATTTTCTTTCTACTGCTGGAGAGTCCATAACAAGTGGCTGAAATGCTCCCTGTTCATTAGACTGACCATGTGCGGAGGGAACACTGTGTGCTCTTTGTGCCCTACCTACTGGTAGAGTGGGGAAACAAAACAGAAAATGTCTCTTGACACCATCCTCTAGCTTGGACAACTCACTTTTTCAGCTCTTTGTCTGCATTTCCCTTCATGTCTTTGTGCCCTGTGAGTTTTTGGGGTACTCAGTGCAGGTGGAAAAGCAAGAGAAGCCCTCTCTGCAGAGCCATGGGAGGAGATTGTTCCCACCCTGACTGAAATCTCAGCTGAATCTGCTGGATCCTACTGCAGCAGTCTCTAACACAAATCCTGGTTGTGGTGAAATTACAGTGCCTGGAGTTTCTTCTCAGGTTTCCCTCTGGCTTAGCCAGAAAGCTGCCAGGGTGGCTAAAGATTCAGAGGTTCTGTAACCAACTTACGCAAGATTGAGGATTTGACTTCTGGTGGTGTGGTGTATCCCTATGCTAATTAAAAGCACACGTCCACATAAGGAATGCAGCTCTTCAAATGGGAACTTCATGTAATTATGAAAGCAGTAGGAGATAAGAATAATTATTTTCAGTTCCAGATGTCCTGTCCTCTTCAGCACCGCAGGAAGATTAAGTGAAAGTTGGGCAGGGCAATAACAAAGTTTCACATGCACAGTGGGATAACTGATGTTGACCAAAGTACTGGTAGGATCTAATGGAGTTCAAAGAAAATTCCTTTCCATATTCTTGGTCACCAGAAAGGTTTCTCACAGTCGTTGTAGGCACATCCATTTCGTGAGCCTGATTACCCCCCCAGTGGGTGGTTTGCATAGCCATCAACCAACCAGGCTGAACTCCCTTGTGCTGTGAACTGTGTTAATGAGAGGGGAGCTACAGCCTTTCATGTGAAATGATTTGGTTCTCTGGTTTAACTGGCTTTGGACTCCTTTTGGACTCCATTCCTTGTCACAAAACACACACACAGCACGACGTGGTAAGGATAATTTACAACGTATTAAACATGTTGAAAGAGTGCTTTCTGAAAGTTTCAGTAAATGCAGTAAACTGGCATGTTGTGTCCGTGTGTGGGCTTAGGGATGAAATAAGGGAAAATTCAGTGGAGGGTTAGGGAAAAGGCAAGAAAAACTAATTGAATAGGGAGCCCACAATGGTTGTACTTTGCCAGATTAATGAGTCACTGTTTGCTGTGCTGTCAAGGCCCAGGAGACTGTTAGAAACTCAAAGGAAGCCATGAAGTATTGCAAGTGTGTTTGAGTCGGCAGAGCAACAGCATTGCTCAATTTAGGAGTAAAACTCTGCTCTCTCAGTGGGCTGCGTGGGTTCCAGAATCACACAGGCTTCTTGCTTATCATCCCAGCTCTGGGGCTGCACCTCCCTCTAAGCAGCTGTGTTAAGGCCCCAGGGAGGAGATTTTGTCATTTAGGGCAGGTCCTAAAGGGGAACTATGTATCATGGAAGCACGGCAGTCCAAATCTGTGAACCTGTAACCCCTCACTGCAGCTGTTGCTCAGCCCTGAAGTTTCCTCAGCTGTTTGCACTGAATTTCTACAGGTGCCAAACGTGCTGCTGTCTGGTCCTTCTTTCCTTACATCCTTGGAGAGCTGTGCTCAGAACACAGCAGGACCTTAAAAGGCAGAGAAAGTCACTCATCCCTTTTTTAAAAGGCCAGAGGGGTAGTGCCCAAATTGTGTGTGACCCTTCAGTGCCTGAGTGCTACAAACCCACCCTTCTAGGGGAGAGCCCACTGATCTCCCAGCACTAGAGGAGGCCTCATTCCCATCACTTTTCATGGCAGCTTTTATGCTTCACAGAAAGGATTTACAATTACACAAAGTCTAGGACAGAGTGTGACTTTCTAACCTATTTGTTAGGACATCTATTTGTGCAGAAACATGTATTCTAAACCCAGTTTAGCATTTAGTGCTTGTTTACGTGTACTTCAGATTAGTTCCTCAAAAAAAAATCAGTATTGGGAGTTATTTTATGTAATACTTTCAGGTTTTTATGTAATACTTTCAGTAACAAAGTTGGCATAGAAAAGTGAGAATGTACTAATGGAACTGTGGATGGTGTAAGCATGGGAGGGAGGTTCTCTATCAACGCAGGAGAACCAAATACTGCACTGGAAGGACTAGAGTGGAACTGATGTAATAGGACTGGGGTGAAATTTGGGTCATGCACACATGTGCTAACAGCAAGAATTTCTGATACAAAGTGAAAAATGAAACTGATACTGGAGAAAAATCCAGACATCCTGAACAATCAGAGGAAAATTATGAAATGTCAGTATTTCTGGCAGGACAGGAAAATACTTGCACTTCCATGCAGAATATTGGTAGGGCCACATGTGAAAAAATTATTGAAAATAAGCCTGAGATAGTCTCATTTATCCCTCTTAGGACAGTAGAGGTTTAATTGCCAAAAGAAAGAACATTGACTTCAGCCAAAGGCTTACTTGTCCAGGTATAATTGTCTATGAATCCATGCAGCTAGAAACAAGACAGAGGTTTCTAGAAACCAACAGAATAAATCTCACAGTGTTCCAACAGGAGGGGTAGGAAACCCAGTTGGTTTGAGGTGGAACTCAGCAAATTTAATAAAGATAGATATTACTGACACTGCTGCCTGGAATAGGAAGGACTGGACTTAATGGCCTAATGAAGTTCCCCTCGGATAGAGTTGGCTTCTGTTGTTGTTTCTGGTCAAATGCTGATATATTTGAAGGGAGCACCAGCAAACTGGGAAAAAAATGCTAATTCCTTGTGTAAAGCTGTGGAGCTTTTCCAGAACCTCCTGGTTGATTTGTCTGGAGCAGATGAACCCTTGGCAGGATCTCCATCACTGGGTGGTTCTTAACAACACACAGGGTGAAATCCTGGCCCACGTGAAGTTGGTGGAAGTTTCTCTATTAATTTCTGTGAGGCCAGGATTTCACCCTGGAAAGGGAGTCAAAAGTACATGCATGCTTTCAGAGACAGAGTGGCTGATTAAATACATCTGGTGCACTGCTCTTTTATCAATCATTGATAAAATAGTGCCTTTTAAATATAAACTTTGGGGAAGCTTAACCGCAAAATTCAAACATGTCCTTTACAAGACTTAAAAGCATAATTTGTCTGCTTTTTATCTGAAATAACAGGAATCATGGTAAAATAAAATAGCACCCACCCACATCCATCCACTCCAAACCCCCGCAGTATTTGATGTGCTGCAGAAACGAGCGATTAAAGCTTAGAAAAGCCAGTTAAAATATTTCTAAATGATACACAAAACTTTATCCCCTAAGAATGTAACCCAAAACTATGCTCCTCCTCGTGCAATTCCTGAGCAGTCGAATTAGGGGTTCATCTGGAATTCGGTATGGGCTGTGCATTCAAGTGACCCAGCGAGGCTCAGGACTGGCAGCGACCCTCACCCGCACCGCTCCAAGGGGGATGTGGCCGCACACCCCGCGGGGTGGTGGGTGTGCGGGAGGGCAGGGAGGGCTTGGGAGGGCTGGGGGGCTCTGGGGAGCGCTGTCCCACGCCCAGCCTGTGTGACCTGCCGGGGCGCGGTGCCGAGCAGGAGCCAGGCGCGTCCCCGCCGTGCGCATCCCTGAGCCGGGCGTGTGAGCCGAGCACGGCGGAGGGAGGAGGGCCGGCTCCGTGCCCTGCCCAGCCCCGGACAGCCTTCCCCAGCCTTCCCGGCCCCCCCGCCCCGCAGCCGGGAGAGCGTCCCGCTGCCGCCCCGCCCGCGGCTGAGTTTGCTCCGGTCCCTTAATTGTTTCGCTCTCACCGAGAACTTTGTTTACAGTCCCTTGTGCGGCGAGCGAGCTGCATCCCCTCGTACTCTGCCTGCGGGCTGGCGGCCGCCGCAGTCCCGCCCGGCGGCCGGGAGGTAAGGCACGGCTCGGCAAGGCTCGGCTCGGCAAGGCATGGCATGCTCGGCACACTGTGGCACGCTAGCCTGTACTATGGCATGGACTGGCACGGCTCGGCTCGGCTCGCAGCCGCTGGACCCGCACGCCCCGCGCCCGCGCCCGCGCCGGCTCCCGGTGCCCGCGGGGCTCCGGCTCCCGGTTCCCCCGCTCCTGGTTCTCTGGGGCTGCTCGGGCACTGCGGGACCCTCTCCGCTCCGGCCGCGGGTCCCGGGGAGGTCCCCTCTCCGCCGCGGCAAAGGGCTCTCCCGGTTATTCGCAGCTTCGGGGTCCCCGCAGCCGGAGCCTCTGCCCCGGCTGCAGGTCGGGGGTTCCCGGTGCCGCTGCGTTCCCGGAGGGGTTACGGGCAGACAGGGTGCACAAGGCTCTCCCCGCCTGTTCGCCTCCCTGCTCTCTCGCAGAGGTGCTCGGGGACAGGCGTGACACGCAGGGTTTTACCCCAGGTGTGTGTGTTGTGTGTTATGGGCGCCTTTGAAAGTTTTGCGGTTTGCAGATAACAGGGTCGTGTTTGTGGAGGGGTTTGGCTGGCTCCCATCCTACCCTTCTGCTATGTCGGAAAGATGAAAAAAAGGTGTGAGCTTAAATCTGGTGATTATTTTACGTAAAAACTTGGTGAGAGAATTTTTTCTGCATCCTGAGGCTCAGGCAGCTGGTGTGGAGGTGGTGTGTTCTCCTCCTGCCCCTGGAGCTTAGAGGCTGATCCTCGAGTCTGGTAAATACAGATTCCGGTTGTGTATTTCCAGGAATGTTCACCTGGGGAAGAGCTGAGGGATTGTGTTCAGGATTACTATAGGCTGTTGAATTCCGAATGAACTCTGGCTCTCCTCTCCGTACAGAAGGACTCTTTACGTTGTTTTCCATAGTCACTTTAATGCATAACCAAGTGTGAAGTGTAAGCATTATAATTTTATTTGAAGTTTACATAAGCTAAAAGGGTGTCTGATGTATGGTGCAAGGTAGAGAGAATCAGGTCCAGAGCCTGGAGGCAGAAAACTCAAGCTCAAACATGACCCACTGGTTCTGAGTAAAATGCAAAAAAAAAAGGGATGTAGTGGCTGAACAATGTCATCTCTCTGCCCTTGCACAGAGATATTTCTTATGTGGGAAGCTGCTGAGAGAGCATCACATTGAAATGATTCTGAGTTAAAATATTGGAAGCTTCGTGTGTAGGTTTCATGAGTTTCTGGTTTTCAGCTTGGTGGTCAGGGAGGGAGGTGGAAAAGAAGAAATCTCATCACTGAAAAGTTGCTCTGTCAGTCAGGTATTTTGATAAAGACATTAATTTAAAAGAATTACCTAAACTGTGTGTAGTCAAGAATAAATACAAATAAAGAACTGACAGAGCAATTAATCTTTTCAAAGCAAGATGCTGGCAGAGTGGCTTAGGGGGCACAATTGCTCTAGGAAGAGCTTTTCAAACAAATGTAACCTTTCTGTAATCCGAGTGGAAGTTGGCTGCAAGTACAGTTCAGAGGTCTGTGTTTGTTTCAATGTAACTTAGATTTTTTATTTAAAGTGGGTTTCTTTTCCTGCATTTCCCTCCAAACTTTTCAGAAAGTTAAACTGATTGCTAGGTGGTGTGTACAAGAATATAGTCAAGGAGACAAGCAAGGAGACTTCCTTATTATTAGCTAAGTTCAATAATCAGCTAAATATACTTTAGCTATGTCACAGGTTTATTCCAAGGATCCCCTGAGAACAGCAGCAGTTTATGCCTGTAAATGTTTGTGTTAGTGAAATGTTAGTATGGTCTAAATAACTTAAAAAGAGAAGAGCCCTTAAAGTTCATCATTATACAGACTTACTCCCTTGAATTTGCTCTCATTGTCACTTAGAACTCCTGTTTGAGGGTGGAAATGATCTTTCATAATCACACACATATAGAAAGGGAATGTCAAATAAGATTAGCAACATAAATCTCTGCTGCTTGGTCAGTTTTGCCTGGCTGCCTGGTGGTTTCACAGCTGTTTCTGCAGTTGATAACAATTTCCATCGCTCTGCTCTCTGCAGTCCTCACACTGCCCTGCTGCAGATTCCACCTTGTCCCTCTCTGAGTTATGAATCTTGTTTTAAAAAATCCAATAAAACAGAAATGAACAATAATAAATATAACAGACTTATGTTTATTACAGTGAGTTCTTGGACTCTGTTAGTTTGCCTTTTTTATTTTTCTGAGAAGAGTTTTTGGGATTATATTACTTAGGTTTTGTTATAGTAGCATAGTTTTAAAAGGTTGTTTGTTTTTTTTTTTTAGTGGAAAGTGTGTTAATATGGTCAGTTCACAGCTAGGAAAACCAAGGGAGATGAAGTGATTTGCTCAAAGAAACTGGACACATAGAAGATACCAATCCCCAGGTATTCTGAGTTGTTATTCACAGAGGCGGAGTGAGCAAGAGAAATGAAGTTAAATGAGATTTTTATCTACAGAAGTTCATGTGCATTATCTTTTCCTGCCTAGCTCTTTCTGGGGGACTTGCCTGGGCTATGATACTCATTATCAAGACGTCACATCATCAAAGGAAAATGTTACTTAGGGCCAGAAATGGGTGGCTGCTGCCAAGAAAAGAGGAGAGCCAGAGGGAGAACATCTCCTGCTGCCGTTAGGTTGGGAGCAGGAGTCAGCACACAGCAGGAGCTTTTCCATGCAGGAGTTTTATTCTTGAGAAGCTGACAAATACCCAACAACTTTTCTTGCAGGAGGAAACTTCCATGCTAGAATATTGTCACCTCCAGTTCATCATTCAGCAACATCTGACACCTCAAAGCCTGGAGCAGTTCTTTCTGCTGCATGACTCTGCCTTGAACTGACACAAGAGACATCTTCAGCACTGTCCCTTGGCTTTTGGGACGAGGATTTGTTCCCATTGATTTCTCACGGACATGGTAGGTGTGCATGCTGATGGATTTCACGTCTTTTCAGTAAATCTCAGCTTACAATTATCAGTGGCTAAAAATTTCCTCTCCCCATTACCCAGCATTGGCCACAGATCGCCACAGAAGCACATTCTTCCTTCAACCCCAAGTGGCTCCTTAAGATAGTACTTGTGGTGTGATTAGTGAGAGGATGCTGGTGCTGCCGGGTATCTTTGCCTAAATTTCTTACCCTGAAACTTGAACCAAATCACCTGTTGGGGTAAGTCAGAAGTGACTTTGCTGGCAATGAGGATCCAGTGCCCCTTTCTCTAGGGCTGAATACCTTTACTCACACTTCAAATTGGTTCTGTTGTTTATTTAACTTCATAGGATTTCAATAGAGGTTTGTTTATTTGTTTTGTGTGAATGCCTGTCTGCTTGCATCCTATTTCATGCAAGAACTGTGCTCTCAGAAGTCAGCAGGTATTTTGCCATTGACTTAATTTTGGTAGTTTAGAAGGTGTTTGTTTTTTTTTTCTAATTCCTGTTAGTTTTAGCTGTATAAACATATCTTCTTTCTTCAAAAGTGTCTGTACAAGACAACTAAGAGATTTAAATGCTCATTGGGGATGTATCTGAAGCGGAGGGACAATGACTTTAGAGACAGGAGTAAATCTACTTCGAATGAATGTTGAAGTTTTTCAGAATAATGATGTTTATTATAAGCCTAATCCAAAGCCTTTTCACGTAAGTCATTACTGAAAATGCAGAACTTGGGCTCAGATCCATGGGGGAACAGATCAGTGGCACTGTAGAGCAAACCCACGGCTTTCCTGGGCTCTTCCTCTCTGATATAAAAGGTACTTAATCATGTGTTATGGTCCAAAGAACAAAGCAACAGAACCCAGGAGAACTTAGGATACCTAAGGTGTCAGCACAGATATCTTTGCTTTTCTGATAAGCACTGAATAAGTCCCCTTCCTGCCCCTGGAGGCAGCAAGTACTCCCACAGAAACTCACGGAATCATGGAATAGTTGTGGTTGGAAGGGGACTCTGGAGTCTGTCTGGTCCACCCCCATCCTGCTTGAGCAGGGTCACCTAAAGAAGGATGCCCAGGACTGTCCAGGTGGATTTGGCGTATCTCCAAGGATGGAGACTCCAAAACCTCTCTGGGCCACCTGCTCAGTCACCATCCTCACTTGAAAAAGCCTTTCCTGCTGTTCAGGGTGTTCCGGTGTGTGCCCGTGGCCTCTGGGGCTGCCAGGGTGTGCTCAGGGCTGTGTCGCTGTGTGCTGAGCACTCTTCCACAGAGCACTGCAACAAAAGCTTTGGCAAACCAGATCTGAACTGTCCTTCTCTCATGAGGGCCTGAGACTCAGATACAAACTTTCTGAGCAGAAACAGCATAAAGCCTGTTTGTGCCTGTGCTTAAAAACAGTGAAATCCTCTTTCTCTCTGAACCCACGGTCGGTTATAGGAGGTGCTGAGATATAAAACCAAGGGCTCTCCACAGTGAACGAATATATCTTAGCAACAAGGGTGGAGTGGTGGGAAAGGAAAAGGAGAATACAAGTATCTGGCAATTAACTTCCTAGTCACAGATGTGAAGGTGATAAAAGTGATAAAAGCATTACGGCATTGCCAACGCTCTTCCTTGTTCTCTGAGCTGCATATCATGCTGCTCATGAAAGCAAAACTACACAGCCTGCACCAGGGTGGTGGAGGGAGCTGCTTGCAGCAGGAGAACTAGTGGTGCCCCAGTGTCCCAGCCTCTGTTGCACATGTTGGGGTGCACTGAGCGTTGAGCCTGGTCTAAAGCAGCACAGCCCTGGTAGCCTTGGCACCATCAGAGGTCACTGCAGGCCCCAGGGTGGCCTCACACCACGAGAGCCCCAGTGAGAGGGCCAAGGGATGTGAAGGCAGCCTTGTAGCAGTGGAGAGCCGTGGGCTCATCCTCCCCTGATCGGGTGGGCTCCAGTTACACGCTGGAGCCATCATACTGCAGATGCAGTCAAACTGTGCTGCTGTGTGTAGGAGTGAGAGTGTGTTTACGGTGTGGAGACAGGAGGAAAACAACCTGCTGTAACTGAGATGAGTGAATGTGAATGGAAATCTCCCTCCCACACAGTTACAGGGATGTGGTTTCATGGTTTCACTGCTTTTGCATGAAGGCAGTGTAGATGGCAAGCTGTTGAGCTGGTACTGAAGTTGCTGTGATGGGAGATTCACCAGCTTTGAGCTCAGTGCAGGGAACTTTCTGCATCCCCACTCCCCCCACATCCACCATTTCAATTGTTTCCCTAAGTAGCACTTGTGTTGAGAAAAGGCTCACTGTTCATCCTTGGTTTTGCTGGGCCAGTGCTTGCCCATGTTACAGTGATGAGCACTGAAGCAAATCTGTGTAACGTGTGTGTTTAGGTGTCTGTATAAAGAAACAGTGTGAAAAAGCATGTGAGCAAAAATCAAACCAGACTGTGAACTTTACCTCTGTGTGAGAAGATGTAATGCCATTGAAATCTAAATTACATCCAGAAATGCTGACTTCAGGATGTAACTTAAAATAGGATTTGGCTCACAGTACTTCAAGATTGGTGTCTGTCTTGGTCTGTGATGCAGTTCTTTCTAGAACTTAGTCATGTATTGGTAACTACTCTAAGAACTGATTCAGACACTCCACAACCAGTGGTGTCACCACTGATCTCATGCATAAATCCTTGTGGATTCCGAGTGCCTGGTTGGTTGTGATCCCAAGTGGGATCACAGTTGTTCTTGGGACCACCCACGTGTCACAGAGCAGTAATTGGTAATTATTGGCTGAACTGGTGCTCTTCTCTCCGCAGCGCCACCCGTGCTCAGCAGAGCCTGCTCTAGCCTAGGAACCGACCGACTCGAGGCAACCAAGATGACAAACGAACCTATTAAAGAGATCCTGGGCTCCCCAAAGCACCCTGATTCTGTGACCACGGAGAAGAGCAACAACAATGACTGTGTGATCACCACCATCCCTCTGGTCAGCGAGTGCCAGCTGACGGCAGCCACGGGGGGAGCGGAGCTCTCCTGCTACCGCTGCACCGTGCCCTTCGGGGTGGTCATCCTCATAGCCGGCATCGTGGTCACCGCCGTGGCATACAGCTTCAACTCCCATGGATCCATCATCTCCGTCTTTGGATTGGTCCTCCTGTCATCAGGACTCCTTCTGCTGGCTTCCAGTGCAGTGTGCTGGAAAATCAGGCAGCAAAACAAGAAAGCCAAGAGGCGGGAGAGCCAGACGGCGCTCGTGGCAAATCAGCGAACCTTGTTTGGTTAAAGACAACCAGGAGAAGGCTGGACAGAAGGCAGAGCCTTTGTAAGTCAACTTGGCTATTTATCAGTAGGAGAGATTGCAGGTTTTAATTTAACTGTGGAAATGAAAATGGAATGGATTAAGAAATGCCCTTAACTCTGCAAGTGCTCTTAATATTTTCTTACTGCAGACTGGGTAGTGCAGACTTCTTTCCAAGACGGAGGAAAAACCCCTTTTCCTTCACAGAAAACTTTGTCATCATAACTGCAACCATCCTAACTGCGTTCTCCAACACGCTGATCGTGTTGGAAACGGAACTTGTGGGAACTGAGAAAATAATTTGAACTGACTTGAAATGCCAGAGATCTCCTTAAACACACACTGTGACATTTGACCAAGGGAGAAGTCATAACTTTTGAAGTGACTGCAAGCTTATGGTCAGAGTGCCTGGGACTTAAACTGTAGCTCAGAAAATAAAAACCAAACAAAACAAAAAAAGAAGGCCATTAGAACACACTGCAGTTTGCTCAATAAGCTGATTCTTATATTTTATGTAACTTTCCCTTCACAATATCTGTGGTACTTCCCCCCCTTTTTTAAACCAACTAATATTAATTTTGTTTTACTATTGAATAGAAATAAGTAGAAATGTGTAATTATATTGTCTAACCTGAATAACGAGGTATGATTATAGCTTAAAACATGAGACTTTTTTTTTTGTAAATTAAAGTGGTCAGGTTTAGCACTTTTGATTATTTTGCTATAAAATTAAAAAGTAAATTTCATTAAAATAATATTCAGTGCTGCTAGACCTTTAGAAAATCTTTATTGCCATCAAGATAGCCTGTATTTTCAACTCTGATGCTCTGTGATTCTATTTTTGTAGAACAACCCCTGTGACAATAACTGTGAACACATGCACTGCTGATCTCTTCCAAAAATCTCTGTGGCCTGTGGACTTTGGTTTGACAGCCCATCCCTCTGCAGCTTGATTACCAGCTCGGTTATTGAAAAATCATAGCAGTCAGTTCTGCAGACACTGGCACAGTCAGTTTGAAACACAACTATTAATAATTCCTCACGGAAGCAAAGCCTCATGTGTGGTGTTTGCTGACTGAGCTTATGAATCTTTACGAAAAGCAGGTGCCAGGTGTCCCTCGTGTGTGTCTGAGATGCTCATTCTGTAACTCTTGTTTCTAGAGGTCTTCCAGCTTTTCTCAATTAATGAACTACTGAGGGACTGGTCCCAAATTGTAGCAACCCAGAACGTGATTTCTTTGTCTATATCTTGAAGGACAAGTGAGCTGAGTCACAGATTTCCACCCTGGCCTGTGTGAGGGTGTCAGAAGCTGGAGGAGCTGCACCAAGTCCTCTTCCCCCTTACTTTCTCCAGACTCCAAAGGGCTGGATGTGATTTTTCTTTCCACTGCCACAGTGAGCAAGGCCTGTGCTAATGTGCCTCCTCTTTTGCCCTCCAGAGGCTCTGGCAGCCACGAGGGCTGTGGTGATGCCCCTGGCAGGAGGTGCTGCAGGGGTTTCCTTCTGTGGGTCATCCTGGATCCGTGCACTCCTCCTGCTGAAATCACCCAGGCATCCTGGCTCGGGTGCCTCCATTTCCTCTGCCCTCCACGCTCTAAGCTCGTTGCATCCATAACTTATCCCCGGATTTGCAAAGTGCACTCCGTGTTTTAAATAGAGCAGGCCTGAGTGTGCGGGGAGGGGATGTTTGGGGTCAGTATTTGCGTTGCCACACTCCGTGGTTACCAGACGCTATAATAAAATCACTTGCATCAGAGGAAAGCTGACAACACATTTTAGCACTTCCATAGGCCCAACTTAATCACGGCAGGAAGCTTTCCTGCTGCTAGGAGAACATGTTGCGTCACCAGAACATCTGACACCGGTGTCTAGTGTCAATCACTTTGCTTAAGGTCATTAAAAATATTAGGGTGTCCCCTTACGATGTACAGGTTTTGCATGAGTGACAATTCATGGGAAATGCACAGCATGATAAATAATGGAACAGGTGGACTAAAGTGGTGTCTTTCCTGTTTAAAATGAGAAAAGTGATTGACATTAGCAAAGCTGGAGAAGTTAAATAGGGCTGTTTATTGTTTTCCCCCCCCTCCCTGGGAACACAATAGTTTTTCTGACTCCTTCTTCCCCCTCTCTGTTTTTTTTTTTTTTATTCCTCAGTGGAATTTTGGGGGGCTGCCGAGGAGAGAATTGCCAGGGATATAGAGATGCAGTGATTTCCACTACACGTGTGGCAGCTCAGGCCCATGATTCCCAGGCTGAGCCCAGAGCAGGAGCAGCCCATTGCTCTTTTAAGCCTTTCCCATATGTGGGTCCTCCCTTCTCCACTGATACAGCTGAGGAAGGCAGAGGTACAAGGTGAGGCTCAGCTCCAAGTCAGAAGAAAAAGCCAGACTGCAGTGGAACAGAGACAGTGGGGTTTGGGGAGCAGTTTTTTCGGGAAGGGCAAATAAGAGTGAGTAAAAGTCATTCTGCTACTACTAAAGAAGTTTTCCTTTCCCTTATCTCTGCTCTCTTTTATATTTGCAGTGCACATACAAGGACACAGCAGAGTTCCTGCACCACCCTCTGCCCTGCTGATTGTGGGACACCCAGGCACTAAGCAGCATGTGAGCAGTGACAGGCAGCATTGCATGACCCTAGACATGATCCCCTGGCACAGCAAAGCTTCAGGTGCAACGTGGTGTCCCACAATACCATCTAACTGACAGGCTGGGAGGCCTCCAGGTGATATGGGGCTGCCAGAGCACACACTGCTGAGCTCAGTAGCATTGGCTGTGTCCCAGAGAGAGAAGGTACATGATCAGGCATCTTCATATCAAGCAGTGAGTGAAAGTCTGTGCAGGAATTCAGTCTTGTTTGGCCTTTATTCAGAGAAGCAAAACAGTAGCTTTACTGGGGAGAATCCCAGCACTTGTTCCTGGTGTCCTGCAGGAGGAAGGGTTTGTGAACAGTTTAGTCAGAGACCTTATGCTGTTGAAGATGTTTTCAGATGTTTCATCAATTAAGTGGTCACATGGTCTTAGAAACTGGTACAGACTTCTCCACTGTGATTTGTGTGCCTCAATTTTGGGACAATCTGAAGCAGTAGTAGCATCTCTTCTGAATGACCAAGGATGAATCCAACAAAGTCTTGCAAATCTACATGTTTCAGACACTTTTGTTATTATCCTCTCTCCCTGCACCCCTTGTCCTGGTTCCAACACAGGAACAGCACATCCTTTTTGGCCCTTAAAGCCCAACCATTCCGGGAGGTGCTGTGTGAGTACAGTGTGCAGGCTCAGCACCTTCATTTTCCCAGAATCTGGTGATATTGTTAGATCTGAGAAGTCTTTTTGACAGGAGCACATCTATAATGCTTTTACAAGGGTCAGCCCCCTCAAACTGGATGCAACCAGCAAAATTTCTTCTTCAAATTTTGAACCCCGTGACCTAATCTGGATTGACTTGGGGTTTCGTGCCTGTGTGCCAAGTCCACCAAGTCTTTGATACAAAGCCATTGGAACTCCACAATTGCTGTTTGGTTTTTCCCATGGGAATCTGGGAGGCAGAAGGATGCAGCCCTGTGGAGATCACAGTGACTTTCCAGTTCAGAAACACCTTCCCTTCTGGTGTGAAAAGGCTTTGAACGCAACAAATGATATTTCTGGGAGAGGCTGGGTGGGAGCTGATGCAAATTTTATTGTCACAGTTGCTTGTCTCTCCCTTCCTGAAAGCCCTGGCAGGACTGTGCAAGCAAAATTGCCCTCACAAGGATAGAAAATTATCTAATAGAGGAATTGCGCTGGTGCGCCGGGCAAACGTTGCCGCGATCTTAAATAATAATTTCAAAACCCAAGCACAGGAAATTGTGTCTGCAACTACACCCTGTATTGCTATTGTACACAAAGACAGTTATAGCCTGGGACAGTATTTTAAAATAATAATCAGTTTGGTGTGACAATGCTTAAGATTTTGCTCAAGTCAAAACGCCCAATTTACGATTCCCCAGTCACTTCACGTGTCGTGTTTTGTACGTGACTGTGGCTCTGACACCGTAATTTGCCAGGTTTAAAAAAAAAAGAATGAGAGAAAGAGAGAGAGAGAGAAAGGTTAGTTTCATGGACTTGTGTCAAGAATTAAGTTTCTCTGCCTGGGACACTTGGGAGAGCTCCTGTTACCAAACACCGATGTACAGTATTACTGCAGCTCTACAGAACAGGAACCAGGCTCAGAGAGTGGAACCATGAGAGGCCTGAGAGTCTCATCAGGATCCGGAAGGGTCAGGCCAGGAACAAACCCTCTGGAATATCCCCTATTCTTGCCTCAGCTTTGCTTACCCAGAGTCAAACCCAGGGCTACCGCTCCTTTAACATCTGAGATGGGAGTTGTTGTATATTATTAGCAGGTTCCACCTAATTTGTTTTCACAATGGGCTCCAAAATAAGAAGAGCAGAACAATATTGGCAGCCATCATTTTGCATATATATTTCCAGCACCTCTAAGTATTAGCAGCTGTCACTTTGCATTTATATTTCCAGTACCTCTGATGCCTTTAGCTTGTGGGACATTTTAGCTATATCAATACAAATATTTGCTGATTACAAAGGGATTTTATATATAAAAGTACATTACATGTCAAGAATTGCACTGTGTGATGCAAAAAAATATAAATCCTGGCAGAAATCTGTGTATAGACTAAATCTTACAGGCTAAACCATATGGGAGAACAATGGTCTTAAACTGCAGAATCAACTTGAATTTTTGGCTTTTATTCAGGTTGTTGATGTCACTATTAACATGACACAAGACCTAATCCTTCCTCTTGTGAGCAGCCAGTTGGAGTCCTATTGTCCTGATTCTGTGCATCTTAAAATTTGAATTTGTGGCAAACATGGCATATTTGAAAAACAGGGTTTTTTTGATTGATTGGGTTTTTTCTTAACTCTTCTTCTGTGCTTTCTAGACTAAGAGAAAATGAGCATTAAACTTTAAAAAACAGGGACAAAAAGAGGAAAGCAAGTGAATATCACACAGCTGCAGATGTTGGACTATGCATAAAGACATGGAGGGATAGTAATGCTTTACATAAGGGCCCTGTTGAAAGACAGAGACTTTAAAAAATATGTAAGTCTTGTTTCTGATACATCCTTGGCAATATTCTCATTTTCACTCTTATAATGTGCCTGAATTCCCCAGGTTAACATCAGTCTTAGATCTCAGCTCATATTTATTTTCTGTTTCTCAGGAACCATTTAGCTCAGCAAAAGGCAGAATCTCATCTTTTGCAGTCTGACTGGAATCAAATGGCCATTTGGGATTTGCAGAAGCAGTGCCCCCCTGGTTTTGTGAGTTATAAGGCATTCAGCCCCAGTCTGCTCTTCAAGAGGGAGGCACTGTGTTAAAGATTTCTGAACTGCAGTGAGAGATAGCAGTGAATTATCTATGAAAAAAAAAAAAAAGGTAAATAACTGCAGAGCAGCCCTTCTCAGCCACGTTCCCTTTCGATCTGAAGGCCCGAGTTTGTGAATAGAGTTAACAGCTTTCCTGGAAAACTGGCCCATGACATTATTTCCTTGTGAACTCCATCCACCTGTCATGTTAGGGCTTGGTGCGACGCCAGCGCTGGCAGGAAATAATAGGCAGCAGGATGCTGGTGTGTGTCGATGGCCCTGACCCTCCCATTCCTGAACATGAATAAGCTCCGAGCTCACCAGGCGTCACAGCAGAGCGGCTCCCGGGCCCTCGGCAGCGCATGGGTGGGATGCACAGCCACTAAAATAACATCCAGCCGGCAGAGCTGCGGCAGGAGCCGCATGGGAAGGGATGGTGTCACATTCTCGCCGCCCGCCGCTCTTTGTTCTCGCCGTGCTGCAGAGAGCGCAGGGGCTGCCTCGCAGGGTGGAAAAGTGCAAAGCAAGGCAGGTAGGGGAGTTTGCTGAGGGCCCCCCCCCCAAAAGAGCACAAAAGATTCATTGAACAACTTCACTGCTTCTGCTGGGGGGACGTGAGTTATGAGCCTGAAGTGGTTTGCAGATGGCTCTCTCCTGGTGTGCCTGGGAAAGGTAGTTCAGCTGGGTGTTTAGGGATGTTAGGTGG